GGTCGCCGAGCGCAGATGTCGGCTGGGCAGCCCGGGCCCACAGGCGGCTGCGCTCTCCTGCGCTCCAGCGGCTTTCCGGGGCGCCGGGAGCCCGAGGAGCGCTGGCCCGAGCTTCCTCCCGCGCTGCGGATCTGCTCTCCAGCCACCTTCTTCTGCTCTTCACGCAGCCGCTCCTTTTCCTGCTCACTAAGACTTTCTTTTTTAAATCGTTCTTACTGTTTTAGTAAGTTTGCTGGCTTCTGGCTTGCTCTGTAATACAGTGGTTTCATCACTGCGCCATCACAGCACTTTTTATCCAAATGTGACCCCGCACAAAAATCATTTCCTCCTGCCCCTCTGCAGGGATGTGCACCAAAATGCTCCGATTCCTGCAGCATATACACACATTTCCCATATGCAGCAACACTATGCAGCCGTACTTTGTTCAAACACAAAATGTCTTGTTTTCTACCCAAAAGTCCAGCACCGACCCACAGCTGCTCCCAGCAGCGTTGATCCTTTGTCCACTCTTACGGCTCTGCATCTTTCACACTGCTCCCACCTCCAGCTCTGCACTTCATTCCCATTCCTGAGCCTCTTCCCTCCTGCCCAGGTCTCCTGTGCATGGAAATCCGTCTGCTTCTTGGGAGAAAGCCATCCTCTTTTTGATCTTCCCCTGCATCTCTCACTTTTGCTTCACCTCCATGACTTCCCTCCACTCCTGCTCCTTCTGCTCTCGTTCGCTCTCCAGCCATCAGAGCTTTTCTGACTCAGCCTTGAAGTCACATCACCAACACAGTCGGAGCCTGAATCACACACTTCACTTCTGCATTTCTGTCTCTGCCCCTGTGACGGCCACAGTTCATTTTAAGTAATAAGAAAGAAGAGTCATGGCTGGACGAGATGACAAAAAGCAAGGAGACACCCTTGTAAAGGGGAGCAAATGGGTTTGCGATACAGTATGCAAAACCGAGAGAAACAAAACCAAGTGACAAACCAGGAAAGCCTGCAGCCATGACCTAAAATATCCAACCCACCCCCCCAGGAAACCAGTCCTCACCCTGCTTGCTAGTGTTGGAAAATTAGGAGACGTGAGACTTTCTAAAGTCATCCTTAAAGAGGGAAGCTTATTTCCTCTCTGGACACAAACCATCCTTTGGCCAGCGCTTTTAAAGTCATTCGACCTTAACCACCACTTGAGACGTAGCTTCTCCTTCCTCAACAAGCTGGACAAAGTCATCCCATCTTTCTTACTACTGCGAATGTGCTGGGCACCTCCAGCTCAGGATTCACGTTGGGGCAGGCAAGAGACACAACGCTCTTGGCTCGTATCCTTGGCCTGCAGCTCATGCTGCCTCGCAGCATCAGAAGACGTTCAGTTTACAGCTGAGCCAGGAACGGCGCAGGCTGGCATCACAGATGGGTGGGGAGGCAGAAGTAACCTGAGATGGACCAAACTGAGACAAGTTCTCTTTCTTCATCTCGAGTGATGAAGATTGATTTGCGTTGTACGCGTTGACCAGCTTCATCTGGCTTAACACTTACAGAAGCCCCAGCTGAGGTGTGGGAACCGCAACGTGAGGAAGGCCTGAACAAACCCGTGTTATATAGCATAAAGAAGGCAACAGCTTTCTCAAATATGTAAGGGTGCACGGTACAGAGAACAGGGAAAATTGGCTTTCCAGTTAATTTTGAGCAGCACAAAAAGATATGAGCTTAAACGGCGGAAAGGGAGGTTTATGTCAGACAAAGGCTTTATTTCCCTAAGAGCAGTTTAAGACTTAGCCCCAGAGGGAAGTTTGGAAGCTCCATCTCCGGAGGGTTTGGAAAATCATCTGTCAGCGGTGGTTGAAGCAGAGTGAGTCCTGACGAGAGGAAGAGATGCAGGCTGCTTTCTTTCCCCTGCTTTATTCAGTATCTAGGGAAGACAGCGAAAAGAGCATGGAGTTTTTATCCCACATGGCAGTACTACATCCCTTCTCTTCTAAACACATGGCCAAGCTAAATGGATAAGGGCAATACATAAAGATCAGTGTAGGAAAGACACTAAATGATGAGGCAGAGAAATAAGTTAAGACTCTACAACTTCTGTAACACAGCCTTCCACTATGCTCATCAAGCATACACCTCCAAAAAGGCACTGCATATGGTTTTCTCCTGAACACCTCACTTATTCCAGGTACCATAAAATACTGCAGGAGGGGCGGGAAATGCTTTTTTCCTGTTTCGACTCTCAGAAAGGCTACCTCCTCCTGCTGGGTGGAGATTTAGCACATGAGATCTGTGCACGCTAGGCTTGGTGACTCTGATACAGTTATTCAAAATGAAACCAGTAACCCTGATGTGCCCAGTCTGGCACTGAACAGCCTCCTTGTGCGTCATCCCCATGCTCTCTGTTGGTCTCTTGCCGAATAAAGGGGTCAAATTCACGTTCAAAGCACTCCAGATGAACAGTCCAAGGACACGAGAACCACCACCATTCATGACAAGACAGGCTGAAACCAGTGCTGGTTTACAACAGCTGCTCCGCTGGAGCGATGAAACGGCAAAGCTCCCCAGCGCAACGTGACAGCTTCTCCAGCCGAGTCCCCCAACTGTGCAAACTGCTTTCAGAATCAATTACACCTCTCGGCCTCTTCTGTGCAAGACGCAAAAGCCTACTTCTGTCTACAAGCCTACAAAAGGAAAGTATAGCAACACAGAATACCATATTTCCACAAAGAAGACGAGGGACAGGAGCACTCCGCCATGGGGAGAGAAAACACGTGTGCCCGCGTCGGCAGAAAACCTGGTAGCAGTGTGCTCACCAACTAGCAAAAGACTACGAGAGAATATATGCTGAGTAACTGCGGGAGAGCAGAAAGACACGGTCTGTAACCTGAGAGCAAAGACAACATTTGCTGCATCGAGAGCAGAGAGGCAACACGTAGACAGGAAGTCTTCAGAAGACACAGATGCTGTAAGGAAAAGAAGCAAGAGTTTTTTTAAGAAATTCCAGCAGAAACATAATTGAGCATTTCTTTAAAGCTCTGCCTAGGAGTACAGATTTAGC